TCCACCTCCACACCCCCGTATCCAACTACGGTTCAAGTGACAGCAAACGGCAATATGTCCACAACTACCGGCACTTCCCAATCCACAATGAACCATGCACTGGTTAGCCCGGACCAGAGCGTGCAGCAGTGCTTCTGCTTACCGTATCTGTCACCACATAGGCAACACAGTTATCCGAACGCCAAAGTCAGCTCGAATGGGACGCGTCCAGGATGTGGTCCTCGTCGGACAAGTTATTTCTCCTCGGCACTACCTCCGCCACCACCTTCACAGTTGCCACCACCACCACCACCGCCACCGCAACCACCACCACCACCCAATATCCCCGCGCCACCTCCGGACCAGTGCATTCATCCATACGAATTTTACGACCATTTCTGCTCGACAAACTGGACAAACGGTTCTTCAAGACAACCACAGTGGACTCAGTCACGTGGCTTGTCACAGAAATCGCCTAGTATGTTCTCCACCCAACAGAACAATCATCCGGTGAGTTCGAGGTAGAACAGTCAGTAATCTGTATCAGTGCATATATACTACGGTTATCGGTGAATCGGGATGACCGCTCAGATAACAGGCCTGGGATTATAATGAAATATGGATCATTCAGACTATTCACGATCCTCTGATCACGAAATTTACCCATTTTTAATCAAACCTCCAAGGTGCTGCAGAATAACAGATCGTTTAAAAATTTAATTATGCAACGTTTTTCTGAGAAACTCAGTATTGTGATTATAGTCCGAAAATGAGTTTTTATTTATCAACATGCTATTAGCTGCGTGGAATGATAGATATAGCGATGGACGACTGATGAATTCAGTCCTTAAAGAGTCATGGAATGTTTAATTTTTGGCTTACTGACTGGATAATGGTCCTATTCTCGGCTATCTTGACGTGTGACATAATCAATTTATGGTCGTGCCTATGGAAATTTCTGTCTCATAAATACTTATGGTCGAAAATATTCACCACTGAAATATTTGTTTCTTATATCTCAACGGCCAATGAATGAATGAATCAATTAATCAATCAATGTTTTATTTCCTTTTTTATTGATTATTTAAAGATGTAGTGAATTTTCAGGAACGAGGCAGCGGCCAACCAATGAAGTATAGCGCGTATCACATTTATGCAAGTTTGAGTATGGAGGTAAATATAGTCGAATAGTAGGTGAAAATCTCAATATTCATGGTCAACTTTGCACAATAGTGAACAATGTCATTGTGGTAAGCTAAGCACAGGTTTGTTCGTTGGAAGAGAGTGATGTTGAAACCTTTGTTTCTTGCTGTTTCCATTGCTGTTGTCCCTGTTGTTGTTGTCGTCGTTGTGGAAAGTACTTGAGGGCTTAGTTTTCGGATGACGTAAACAATCGCCTCCTCAAAAGTGCAATTTTGCCCCGGTTAGGCGTTCATTAATATACAGTTGTGATAAATCTATAATTCTGATTTTATCGAACCGAACTGATCATCCATCGGAATCCATTTTCACTTAATCAGACACTCTAGAAGAGAGAGAGGGAGAGAGACGAATTCTGATTTTCTTGGGGGACATAAACTAGCTCAAACGGGAATGAAACTGTAAACCTGAATACCCGATTAGTAATTACTGCTCATAAATCCTTGTTCCTAGCATCAAGAAATTATTCTCACTTGAAAAGTTTCATCCTCGTCAAGGAATGCAAAACGGTGTAAAGGACATTGAAGAATACTTGTCATTTATAATCAAAAGGTTCAATTAGGTGCAATGAAAATTTGGAAAAGATCGACTTATTGATTAGATGACCTTGATTGGTCAGTAATTCCCTGATTGGGTAGGGGAAATTCTTTTCACTTTTAAAACAAAGGCGGACACCGAGGCAATGGATTGCGTGGTGGTAGTTTACGGGAACCGATTGCTTTTCAAGTGTAAATAGGAGAATATCGACTTCATAACATTGGAGACGGTACCCAAGCCAGATGGATCATTGTATCAGTTGGTCTAGTACAACAGCTGCGAGTGTGTAGTGTATGGGAGGAAAGGAACTGAAAATTGATAATTAAAATCACTTGATTAT